TGAAAGTGAATTAAGTTACGATTATAATTACAATAGTCGTGAAATCCTTTAACAAATATAAACATACTATATGTTGAAAAATGTATTCAAACATAAAGTCAAATAAATAAATAAATAAATAATATTCGAATAAAACGTCAAAATAAAAAACATTAATAAATTTAGTTGAAGAAAATATCAAAAAGATTAGAAAAAATAATTTGAGCAAAACGTTAAAAAATATTATATATATATATATATATATATATATATATATATATATATATTAAACAATAAATTTAAAAAAATCTAAATACTTAAATATATAATTAAAAAAGATAAAAAAAATAAAAATAAATAATAGAGAAAATTATATAAATGGTCCCTATGGTAGAAACATATTACATAAAGCATCCTTATGCATGAAGGGCAAATAAGTCATTTCACATAGGACTTAACTGAAAAAGTTAACGCCGTTAGTCAAAAGGACCGTCTTTGCAAGATTTTGAAACCATAAAGACCATCTGTATAAAGAATTCATTATAAGGACCATAATTGATCGATTTTGTCAACCATGAGGACCATTTATGTAATTTTGTCTATAATTTATTAACTCATGTAAGATGTAAGATATAAATATTTTTGTCTTTTACTTATTAAATTATATATTACTTTTTAATCATTTTTCATATTTAAATCGCTTGAATTTGGCTATGAATATTGCTTTAGACCATATAAAAAGGAAAGATTCCAGGTTTAAGGAAAATAGTCAAACAGTGGATGAATCAAGAAATTTGAAAAAGGGTGGCCGGCTATTTTCGAGAGAGGGTAGTTGGAATTTCAAACCAACTTCATTTCTGTCTCGATTATGATAATCACAAGTTCACAACACTCGCTTTCAAAATCTCCCCCGTTTTAGCTCGATTGATACATTGCTACAGACATATCTGAAAGAAAGAAACGGGGTTGTTTGATGACAGAAATGGTGGTTGTACCAAGAGGAGCTGGGTGCGCCGCCGTATGTGGCGGCGGTTGTGCCGGAAATGACACAAGAAAAGGGGGTTCTTCAAAAGAACACCAAAACCACCTCTCCTTAGTGGCTCTCATCATAGCAGCTCTAAGAAAATCAATGGCAGCTTGCCGAGTTGATGATCAGAGGGAAGAATCAAAATCAACAAAACCAGCAACTCTCCATCATATGGAAATCGGTTGGCCAACCGATGTTCAGCATTTGACTCATGTTACCTTCGATCGATTCCATGGATTTTTAGGTCTTCCTGTTGAATTTGAAGTTGAAATCCCCTGTCGAGCCCCCAGTGCCAGGTGCTATAATTTTTAGCCATTCTTCATTAATTAATCACTTTTAAGAACAATTTGCTCTAGATTTCAAAAACGTATGTGTACCTTACCATATAAATCGATTCCGAATGGAACCCACTTCTACGTTAGTTTTGAAATTTCTGTAAACAGTCGGAAATCTAGGGTTTATGAGTTCATTGACAAACAGAAAATGGTGCAAATTTGTCAAAGGAAATTGCAGCAAATGACAAATTGGGACCCTCATATTACTAGCAAAATAATGAAAATTTGAAATCCAAAGTCGAATAATTGGGGTCCATTGACTGAAAATTTGAGCAAGGGCAGGTTGGATTAATGTTTTAAAAGCGATTATTCAGTTGTATATATATCCATTGTTATACACTCTGTCGATGCAAACTAAGAAGAGCTAGGGTTTTAACTTGTTATGTGAAATTAACGATAAAATGTTATTGCAGTAAATTGAAAGTGTGGGTTGGAGACATTTTTGCATTTGGTCACTTTGATTGTGTTATTGACATATGTTTTGTTGTTGTGTAGTGTAAGCGTCTTTGGGGTTTCAGCAGAATCCATGCAGTGTTCTTATGATTCAAGAGGCAACAGCGTCCCGACAATTCTGTTGCTCATGCAGGAACGTTTATATGCTCAAGGAGGTCTAAAGGTATGCTACTTGCTACATATATCAATATATCATACCAAAAAAAGATTAGTATTTGGTAGAATCTCACACAATGAAAAGTGCCTGTGGATTGTCCCTCTTTAGTACACCGTTTGTTACATAGGTCCGGACAAAATTTCTACGGCTATTTTTGATGATGATGATGAATATGAAGAGGGCATTCACGTCTTTTCCATTAATAAGAGATCGAAAGCGAGTCTTTGTCCACTTATTTCAACTTTTTGGATGGGACAAAAATTTGCAGTTTTTGTCCCTCAACACCCAATGCAAGCCAAACATAGTACAATGTCTTGGTGTTATGTTTTGTCCCACACACACAACCCCCAATTGATACCACGGATTTGGGTAGTGTTTGGTATGATGGAATCGGGAAAGGAATGGAGTGTAACAAACATGGGGTGTTTTTTTTTTTTCTTCATTTGATCATGGAATGGAATGAGAATTTGCAATATAGTCCATTTTTATTTAACTAGATTATTATAACACAAATCCCTTTCAGAAGATTTTTGATTTTGTAACAATTGTACTTTCTAAAAGTAACTAGGACATATATTTTTTATTCAAATATTATTTGGATTTTAATCGGCTTTTCTTTTGTTAAATTTTGTATATAAAAATTTATTAATTTCGATAAAATAATGTATATGATAAGAGTTAAAACTACACATTGTGTTGTTATGTGATAGAGCATCTCTAATGGTTAACCTCTCAAAAGCTTTTTACTTTTGTCACGTCATTTTTCCATTACCTTTTATTGACAAAATTCTTTTATCAAATAGCTTCTCCAATGGTTAACCTTTTCAAAAGGTTTTATTTTTCCTTCTAAAATTAACTACTTATTCTTTTATCTATCTTAAAGGTTTTATTAAGCCAACTCGTTTAATTTATCATTTTACTAACATTTGTCGTGTATTTTTTTCCCGAACTATAAAAGATGATAAAATTTTCACATATGTAGTTAAAAAAATAAAAATAAATAATAATAAAAGATTACCTAACTGGCTAACCGCAATATTTTATAATACTTGATATTTTTTAATCCTCGCCCAAATGAATTAGCTGGTCCTAGAAATGTTAGAAAAAGTGATCAAGAAGTATTTTGAAAGTTTTGACAAGTATTTTTAAATTATATAATGTTTTCATAAAATATATTAATTTTTATTTTGTTTATTAAATCAATTAATTAATTAAATAAATTCAAAACCTAAAAGAAATCTAATAACTAATATAACTATGTTACTAAATGTAGGGATCAACTGTGACAAAGCCTAAAAGAAAATTAAAATAGAATGTCATATAAAAGTTTGATAAAAAAAAGATTGATTCCATTCCTAGAAACTAACAAACCAAAGAAACACAAGAATTGATGGAGCTGGAAATGTTTTTTTCTCAGTTTCTGCATTAAGTGAGTGATTGTGTATTTTGTAGGCGGAAGGAATTTTCCGTATAAACCCGGAGAACAGTCAAGAGGAGCGGGTGCGGGAGCAGCTAAACAGAGGCACGGTGCCCGAGAACATCGAGGTCCATTGTCTTGCGGGTTTAATCAAAGCCTGGTTCCGGGAGCTTCCAAGCGGTGTCCTTGATGGCCTCTCACCCGATGAGGTTCTACAGTGCAACACAGAGGAAGAGCGCGTTGCGCTTGTGAAACAGCTCAACCCCACACAATCTGCATTGCTTAATTGGGCTGTTCATCTCATGTCTGATGTCGCCCAACAACAAGAATCTAACAAAATGAACGCTAGAAATATCGCCATGGTCTTTGCCCCCAACATGACTCAGGTAGTAAATAATCAAAATTCCTTTTCATCTTCTGTCTTGCTCATTTCACTGATTATATGTTTATTTGGTTTCGATTTTAGATGTCGGATCCATTGACAGCTCTAATGCACGCCGTTCAAGTGATGAACCTGCTCAAGACATTGATCGCCAAAACCCTAAGAGAACGCGAAGAGACAACCGCCGGAGCCTCAACCGTTTCGTGTCCTTCCGACCATCATCAAGAGATGAAAACCGGATGTGAACCGCCAAGACAACCATCATCATCATCATCATCATCATCATCATCATCCAAAGAACAAGAACAAGAACAAGATGATGCTGATGATGATGAAGCGGAATCATCGCTAAGCGAGATTGAAGAAAATTTTCTGAAACGAATCGAGGAGAACAAGAAAGCAAAGGATCGGTTCAAAAGAGAACTGGATCAGCTGGTGACACAACGTTCAAGTCCAACGAGCGGGTTTGACTTTCAAGAGGAATCATCGGGTGCTAGTCTTAATAGTCTGGTTTCTAAAAAAACTGAAACCGCCATACAGATTGTAGGCCGACATGGTAGATGGAATGGGAATGGGAATGTATGAACTTATAATTTTTCGATTCTTGAAAAACTTTTAAGCAGTTTCTGCATATCAAAACCTGCTTGCCATGTCATGTTTTAATAATAACTTTGTAAAATGTAAACCAGCATGCCATGTCCTGTTTCATGCGAATCTTCTAACATATCTTCCTCGTCTTGGTCTAGGGAGTAGGGTTGCTTTGTTTGACTTATTAATAAAGAGTCGGGAAAAGCAAACAAGTCGTCCTTAGATACTTAATACTTTTTCTAGCGTCCACCATCATTTTCTTAAACATCCACGACTTTTTAAATTTTTATCACAAATTTAAAGCAAAAAGTAAAAAGCACACTGTCTAAATTCATTGAAATTTCATTATGATAATTAAAAGGCCATTGTTTCAAATGCCACTCATACATATATACGATTATTCCAAGTAATTTGTCGTGGTGCATGTATACATTTATATTTAAAGCTTTGAACCGTTTCCAAGGTTTATAAATCAAACACAGATTCATTCCTACCAGTCAAATACCATTGTAGATCATATTTCATATATAACACATATATAGAGTAAAAAGAAAAAGACTAAAGGAAATAAAATATAAGCTCAATCTGCTCAAACACCGAAGTTTGAGTTAGAACCAAACCATCTGTGTGGATTCTTTATTTCCTTTTTTTAATGAGCAAAATCACGAATCCAGACAAGTTTCCCAGAATTGTCTGTCATCCAGACTTGAAGAATCAACACACAACTCATGACATCTCTTTTCTTGGTCTATCATCTTGCTCTCACCCCAATTATCATCGTTGTTGTCATCATCATCATCATCATCATCATCATTAATCTCTTCTCTATTACCATCATAAACATCGCCATGATCATGATCATATTGACCATGACCAACACCATACGCATGAACTTGATGATGGTTATCATGATTGGTTTTGACATTAACATGGAATGAGTGATCATAACTGCAGGATTCAACGTCATCATCCATGGATTCTTCTTCTTTTTCTTCATGTTTTTCTTGATGATGATTATGATAATGATGACGCCGAAGAACATCATCTGCGATGGCATCCTCAGAATCAGCAGATGACTCAAACAACAGGAATGGTGTCACATCAATCATACTATTCTTCATCTTCCGATTAAATTCCATAGTTTCAAAGGAATCAATGGAAATGAATTCAAGTACTGTTAATCACTTGGATTCTTTAATGCTGTAAGTGGCAAACTTTAGAAAAGTTATATATACGGCGGCAGATGGCTAAAATAGAAAATTAGGAGTTGGAGGACTTTGAGTGGTAGAGAAAATTAATTAAAGTTCACATGCAGTGATTATTATATACAGTTAAAGCAGATCATATTTTTTTCCCTCTCAATTAGAGTGATTATAAAGTAAGTTTATCGTGATGTTTGTGATTATCCATAAATTAGATAATCGGGTAACTTGTTCTAGAAAAAGAATACACGGATCTTTAACTAGCACGTGGGCATCACGTGTTTGTAACTTACCGTCACCGAAAAGTAAACAAATACTTAACGCGGTAACGACCACGTTGTCCTTTTTCAATTGTGAATAACTGAATATAGGATGAGAAAACCATACAAAAAATTAATTTAAATGTGTATAATATGAATAAAAATTTTAGAACAGGTTTTTTAGTTGATAATATATATTTGTTACGACCCGGTTATTATTTTGGAATTGTGATATTGCCATGAATATTCTTTAAGATTTTTGAGTTTTTATGGTGGGTTTTTCTTCTTCTATTTTATCTCATTTATTTAATTTTGGTTTCAATCAGTGGTGGTGTCAGACAATTGGATTTTGGATATAAAAAATAGTAAAATTCAAAATAGTGTTTGTGCAAAGTTGCTTAATATTTAGATATATTACTAATAATTTCGAATAATATCTACCATATAAAATTATAAAAATCAATATTCAATAATCGATGATGACTGATAACAAAGTAACAAATTTATCACAAAAATTAAACATGAACTTTATAATTATAATTCCTTAAAAAGACTAAACGGTAAACGATTATAGCAGAAAACAAATTAAATTCAACCAATAACATAAAATAGTTGAAACTGAAGCGATGAAAATTTGGAATTTGGAAAGCAATTTATAGAGAGAACCTAAAATCAAATTAAAACAATTTACAACATTCAATCTAGTAAAACTACACAATACAAACCAAATTATTTCTTACTACATTGATACAATTTCATGAATGAGAGTATGATCCAAAAGAATAGACTCGGCTTAGCTCCATACTTCATAGAGATAACCCTAAAAATTTCGTCTAAAATACTACAAATTTATTCTCAACCAGGTTTCTACTTTCTAGTGATCATGAGCATTCGACTTGAAAAATGTAAATAAATATGCAGGAAAAAGCAAGAAATTACCATAGACTTAGAGACTAAATTGCTTTTAATCCAGCAATCTCTCGCAGCTTCTCACACAATATAAATGTGATTGTTGTTTGTGGACCTAATCGAGCAAAAATTGCAAAGCCCCTGCAACATTTTTTAAATCAAATCCTCATGCATCTGTTACATAAGAATGAGGGCATTCATGTCTTTTGCACAGACGAGTTGAGTGCGAGTCCATGTCCCACCTTCTTGGGTAACATCTGTCTCAATCTCAACACACAAACCAGACACAATACAACCTGTTCTGTCATGTCATGTGTAACAAACACAGGAGCTAAGGGAACAAGTATTGTTGGGGGTCTCACCCTTTGTAGAGTCCACGAGGTCCCTCTGTGATCAGAACCTAGAATTCATTCCAACAACATCTGTGAATTGTGATTATAATTTATTTAAAAAAAAAAAGGAGCATAAAGAAAGAAGTTACCTTATATGTACAATGAAACCCGTTTTTGTAAGCTCCATCACTCATAGATTCTCGTTGTAACATGAGACGCGTTTTAACCATGTCCATAGGTGCAGTTATCAGTGTGCTCACCAAACCCGCTACTGTACTCGACCTTCACATCATGTAAGTCACAGTTTGAAAAAGCTATAAAAGAATACATATATCATAATTCATATATGTAATGTATTTACAATGTGACAAGTTATTAATATAGTATTTAAGTATTTCGTGTAAATTGAAAGATTGTAGGTAAGGTAGGTATGTGTACATGAGATGAAGATAGAATCCTTCTTCAAGAGGTGTCCGTTTTATTAAGACCTACATCATAGCCATAAAAACAAAATTTATAACAGGAATTAAATATAAAGGTGAAAGAGAACAACACACTTTTAGAAGTTCACCCGCTTGAATTCATCATATGTTGCCAGCTGTGATGCTGTTAAAGCTCCTGCCCGGGCCATAGCGGGTCCCACCCCCTTCCAGAGAGCTGTTATGCCCTCTTTTCTGACAATTTTCTGCAGTTCACTAATTGCTCCTCTACGTGCATTAGGGTTCATTTGCAAACGCACCTATTCAATATGTTATGGATAAAAAGTCAATAATATGGATTAAAAAAGTGTTTCCGGGTCGACCCGACCCTCTTGTTTTGTCTAAAAGGTTCAGAAAGTGTTTTTTTTTTTTTTTTTTTTTTTTTTTTTTAGCTTACCTTTAGAACTTCAACGGGGTTGGTGAGCAAAGTGGCAAAAGCACCAGAAACAGCTCCAGATGCAATCTTCATGAAGATGTTAGTGGACTCAAAGGCCAGTTCACAGAAATTTTTACAAGGTTCATACAAACCTAAACGTAGACCTCCATAAAGAACTGACCTTGTCAATGCTGGTGTCAAACCAAGATACAAGGAACGAGTTCCTTCTTTCTTAACAACTTCAACAAAAGTTTGTCCCTGTAAACACCCAAGCATCATGACTGATTCAATTCTTCTTGTTAAAGCAGATCTTTATAATTTATGATGAATAATACCCAACATGACCTCTTCATACCATTCCAATTAGTGGACCTCTTTGTCCCACAAGTTGCATCTGCAGTCTAACTTTGAGTACATCTACATACAAATTGGAAGAAAAAAAAAATCAAATCAAAATCAAATTTCAGTATATAGGGATTGATATAAAACAAGTGAAACATGAAATTATTGAAATTTGAAGGAAGAAACCTAATGGATGTGTGATGCCGGTGGCTGCAGCAACAGCAACACCACTTGTTCCAAAGTGAGATGCAACTTTGGAGGGGGAAGCATACCAATTTTGATTGAATTTCATTCTAATTTCGCCTGGATATTCAAAATCACAAATCAGATCCCTACTTTCTCATCCAAATACCATGTTTACAGCAATTTTCAAATACCGATGTCCTATCATACATGATTTTTACTCAGATGAAATCAAGCACAAGCACAAGCACAAATTCGTCTGTAATGCAGAAACTTAGCTAAACGAACAAAATGGGAAACCACGACCCGATACCTTATGCTCGTGACGAAGGGGTCAAAGGCATAAAACAACCAAAATAGTCCCAAATTTCAGCAAAATTGAGATCGTTTAACAAGATTTAATCTTTAATTAAGTATATGTTACGATTTAGCATTAAAAATTAAGGGTTACAAGAGAGAACCTGAATCATTGGAGGGGTTCTGGAGAGAGGAACCATTGTTGATTCCTTCAGGCATCTGGTTAATTTTACTTTTCCTATTTCCTATTTGGATTTTCGCTCCCTTGACCCAGTTATGTCAAATGCAACTTTTGAAATCAGTACAATAATGATCCTTTGGTTTAGTGATAACTTCATTATATACGCCTTTGCCGTTCATAATTTATTTTTAGACAAAACTATGGTTTTGTAGTTTATTAAATGTCACAATTTTGAATCTCTGTTAATTTTTTTTGATGAATATGATCTTCCTAAAACTTACGTTATTGATCCTTGTGGCTTAATCTTGCGTGATTAGTCCTTTAGCCACCTGAAATAACTTTTTTTTTTGTCCATTTTTATTTCTTTTATATTTGACAAAATTGCAAGGATGATCCCTATTATATATCAAAACTAACAAGTTTGGTCCAAACAAGTTTGGACTCGCAATGATAATCCAAATGTTTCTTTTGTTGCGAGTTTAGATCAAAATTTTAAAACTTTTTTTAAAAACATATTTTGCCCTTTGTTTTTTCCTTTTTTATTATTATATTACAAAAAAGAAAAAATCTCTCTCTCTCTCTCTCTGTGTGTGATGCAAGACCACCGCCTCTTGCTGGACTACAACCACTTATCGGACCACCCTAGTCACTAGAGACTATTTTCTTCGTCGGACCACCCACATCACCTCCGTCTAGCCGACTCTGCAACGTAGCCGGATCTGAAAGCCTTAAACTTCGTTGCAACCGCCACATTCCACCTCAAATGTAAGAAACCACCAGAGCCATCTCTGTCGTCGCTTATCCTTCTCCGACGAGTCTCCTGTGTTTGTAGAAGATGAATGACAATGACGATGATGAGCCTCATGTGTTCTCGTCATCACTCACCTGTTCTCGGTTTTTAATTTTTTTACACCGTAAACCTCCATCATCCACCACCTCTGTTTGCTCACATCACCGAACCGTCGTTTTCCACCTCTAGTTGTCATCCCTTACTCCATTTGAACCCTTAGCTACACCAAAAAAGCCATCAATTAAAACCAGTAACCATCTTCCTTCAAAAAACATCACCTCCATCACCCTTATCCTGCACCTTAAACAATTGAGAAACCATTACCTTCAAATAATTTTTTTTTTGTTTTCTGAATCGTGACCCAAGTAGAAAGAGAAAGGAAGAAAGAGGATGTGATTTTTTCAGAGCTTTCTGGAGACGCTTCAAAGTTGGAGAGTTTTGCGCTCCATGAAAAAACGATAGTGACAAAACCCTAGTTATTTAGGTGACGGCGACTTCAGATCGATTAGGGTTTTCTGCAGGTGACGATGACTTTGAGATCAAATGTTAGTGGTGGCGGAGACGATGGGGATTGAAGACGATAACCCTGATTGGAGTTGGATCTACAATGGTGTTTTCTTCAACTCTTGATTTTGACTTTAGAACAAGAAACCATTCATCAGATCTTATTTTGACTTTAGAACAAGAAACCCCAAAAAAATTGATAGCAAACCCATTGACAATCGTTAGAGCTCCGATTGAAGCTAGAAAGAGAGCATCGATTTTTCATTTGTACGGATTTTTCACATGTCACTAAAGCTTTGATCGGAGTGAGAGGGGGAGGGGGTGTGTATTTTTTTTCTTTTTTAATGTAAATAATAAAAAGAGTTTAAAAAGGAAAAATACCAAGGGAAAATATATCTTTAAAATTTTTTTTGAAAATTTTGGACTAAACTCGCAACAAAATGAAAATTTTGTGCCACCCTTGCGAGTCCAAACTTGCTAGTTTTGACATACCATAGAGATCATTCTTGTAATTTTTTAACAAAATATATTTATATAAAAAAATAATAAACAATTACCTTAACCCCGTTCATCATCTCTTCCTTCACGTTTCTTTCTTTCATTCTTATTGTCGGTAACCCCATCTGAATCTTACATGTCGAAACCGCCAATAGTCGCTGGCCTTCGACAATCCATCCTTACCTTCATATCTCTTTATTTCATGTCGCACCACATCAACCTACATCATCTCTCTTTCCAGTTTTATCCGATGAAACTTCCAAATATCCTACAAAACTATAAGTCCTCTGACCATTCCCCCATCATACCATTTGAAACAAGTTCATTGATCATCACCGGATTAGAAAGATCCACGATTCCATTCATGATCTACTACTTACCGGGTGGAATCACTGTTATGGGAGCCCCATAAAAAAAGCTTGACTTGCTCTACGATTTTTTTTTGTTGCAGGCTTATATAAATCCATTGACATTCCATGGTAAATTAGCAAGTTGGAATGCAATCGTGCTATTCTGACCTTAAGCTTGTTCTTCTACATAACCAACCTATAATTTCACAAACCAACACCAGCTATGTCATTGATGAAACGTCTCTTATAATGGACAAAGACCAATTAAACCCAACCGTTGTCGCTTGGTTCATCGCTACAAATGGCAGCTGCCCTTCTTATTGTCATGTGTTTTTCAACTAACACAAAAACGAACCGATTAAAAAAACAACAAACACGACAAAGATGACATAGTATAACAATTAATTTATTTAATTAATACGTAATTATACATAACATGACAAACACAAAAATCAAGATTGAAATTCTCTAACATCCCGGGCTTTAAGGTATTTTTAAATCCTTCCCTTGGTATTTAAATATGTCATTTTGGTCCTTAAAATTGGTTGGAATTAGCCCTAAGAAGCCCTTGTGGCAAATTGGTAATTCTTGGGAGCTTGAGTAGTACGTTGGGCGTACATGTAGGTACGCTAAGCGTACTAGGGCACGCCCTAGTATGCTGGGCGCACACATATGTACGTTGGGCGTACGTGTGTTCGGGTGAAAACCCTAATTTTTAGGATTTGTGGAGTATTTAAGCACCATTATGGATCATTTTGCCTTACTCTTTCAGCCTCCAAGTCCTTGAGCCGTTTTGAGTAAATCCTAACCCCATAAGTGAGCATCTTGAGCTTAAAGTGTGATATTTGTGTACCAAAAGGAGAAAAAAGTGCATCAAATAAGTCAAGGAAGGAAAACAAGCTTGTAGATATTGGATTATCATCTGCTTGGGAAGCTCCAGAAGGTAAAAAGCTTCCACATTTATGCTTGGATTGTTTAGATCTTGTTTTGGTAGCTTTATGGTGTTCTTCTTGTCCCAAAAGTTCCAATATTATGCATGCTTTGTTTTGGACATGTTTGGCTGTCCTTTCAGACCCAAGGATGGGTTCTAAGTCATACAAATGAGGTCCCTTTAGCTAGTTTGGTTCCTTGTTCTTTATAGGAGGTCTTAATGGATTAATACAATGTATTAAGGACTTGGACGACCAAAGTCTTAAATTTTGTAAGCTAATGGATAGCGAGTTCCCAAAATAACACATACCAAACATACAATGGGCCCAACCCTAGGGTTCATTACCAACCCAACACAATTATGGGCCCTCGCCCTGGGGCCTCACCCTGGAGTATATTTCAACCCGAGATATCACAATGGCCCCCACCCTGGGTATATTTAAACCCGACATACCATATTGGGCCTTGCCCTGGTGTATATTTCAACCCAATCACAACATGTACCATTTAATAATAAGCATATCACATAAACAGACAATGGGACGGCCTTGGTGCCGTAGACCCATGGTTATAGTGAGAAGACTCACCTTAACTGCTAGAATCCCTAGTAAATGCTCAGGCTGCGGTACAGAAGAATCCTCACGCTATCTAACAAATAACCCAAGTCAAAATTGGGTCTTAATCCATATTCGTGGACCCAAGCTCCGAGTCCAAACACCTATGTTATAGGTCCATTAGCCATTTTCATATTGGGCCCAACCATTCGTGGCCCGAATATAAAGATGGGCCCTAAGGCCCAACTTATCCATTTAAGGTCCAAAACAAAACCCTAAGACCCGTGCACTTAGACTGGGTCAAAGCCCAAAACCCATATAAGGCCCAAAGACTAAAGTCCAAAACTACAAAGTTGTCTGGGCCGACGGCCGGCGTACGTGTTGGTACGCGTGGCGTACCTCGACTGGAAGCAGTACGCACGACGTACACGCCAACCATGCAACAATTCATGAAACGACTTAATGCATTAAGATTTTACGTCCAAAACCCATATTTGAACCCATTAGGACCTCTAGGGCTATAACGTTGCCAACTTTAAGCCCATGCATAGCTACAAGAAGCCCAAAGACAAAAATCAAGCCTTTTATGTCCTTTGTTACATCCTATCTTTGGAATGGGAACTAAACAACCTCAAAGCTTGCACTTTTAAGAATTGAGATGCCTAAACATGCCTGGAAATGCAACTTGAAAGGTTTAGAGTAGCTCATACTCACCAAGATTTAAACTTTTGGGTCAAAAACAAGAAATCTAGCCCTAACTAAGAACTTGAGGAAACATGAGCAAAAATCTGAGCTTTATACCTCAAAGTGGTGCCAAATGAGTAGAAAATGGTGGATCCAGAATCTTGGAGACAAAGTTTTATTCTTGAACCACCTTCTTCACCACCAAGGAAGCTTAAAATCTCTCTAAAAAACTCAAAAGATCCAAAAATAGCTAGGTTTAGCTAGGAGGGCCAAAATGACAATGGGGGTTGAGGTAAGGGAAAGTATTGGGGTCATAATGGGGTTTAAATAGTGTACAAAACCTAATCACTAGTGTTTTGGTTTGAGCCACGTACGCCTAGCATACCAAGATGTACGCACAACGTACGCACCTGGAGACCTCTACATTTAGCTTAACAAGGGCTACGCCCCGCGTACCCGAAAAAGTCAAGAGTCCACTCTCGGGACCAAAAGTGACATAAAATCAAATTCCAAAGGAAGCCAACTTGAACAATCTGAGATGTTACACAAACATATCAAATGCAAATGGTATAAACATGTGTTGATTTTCCATGCACAATATCTCATGTTTGGTGACCTTGCATGTAACAGCCTGTCCCACCGTGAAACCCCTGACCCTCAAGTCCACGAGATGGGATACCCTTGTAAGGCCCACATATGCGATTTTACCTCAAATCCTTCCAAAAATCAAAACATAAGCCGATCTAAGGGTTGACCTTGCTTCTGTCGGGTCAGTCAATAAATTCACAGTGCCTCTTTCTTGGTGGA